TGACCGTTAATCGAAGCTCATCACAGTATCATCATAGTAGAACATCACAAATTGAGTGTTCATTAAACGCTTTGAAAGTCAGCTAGCTGAAGCAGGATATACATGGAGCGACATCTACAGAGAAGCACCCAATAGAGTCAGATTTAAAAGAATAATTGAGGCCATCTGACTCACTAAGGAAAGTGAACAATAGTAGTAGTATTAGATGATTATCACGTCATCTGGTTATTGACATCAAGCTAAAGACGTTAACGAGGCGCTTTAAAAAATATAAATCTAAAATCCTATTGTGTGATGTAAATAATCGAAAATTGCATTATACATATTTATTTTTAATAAAGAACTTCTTTGTCACTTCTAAAAAAAAATATAAATTTTAGAAGTTATATCTTGATTGGTAAATCCAATCCAATACTTCAGAATCGAACTAACTTCAAAAGTTTTTAAGTTAGTTAGAACTAACTCAAATGGGAGAAAGTCATCTAACAGGATTAATAATTGCTAGAAAAAAATTTGAATAAAAAAATTCGAAAAATTGCAAATATCTTTTCCGAACTGTTAAAAAGTCCAAAAAAGAAGTACACAAATCTTAGAAGTGTAATTTGCTTGGTCAAACAGATTATAATTGCATTGTACGCTCCGTTTGACGATAGCATTTGGGCTGGCGTGTGAAGACGCCAATTCAGCAAATTCTCACGTTATGCTAATGCACGCTATTCCTTCACAAGTACCTATGCAAATATATTTTAATATAATAAAGAGTCTTAAAATATAATCCAAATACTGCAGTTGTTTTTCTTTACAGTACAGCCTTGATTTATCGACTGACTTTATATATGTCAAAATGCGATTATTTCCCTTTTGAGAAATACATTTTGCTTTTGATTTGATTATATAAGGAACCTAATAGTTCTCAAATTATGCAAATGATTGAAAACTTGACTATAAAAAGGATACAAAAGTTTTGCAAATTATTTAAATCTCTGATATGTGTTCTAGAATATTACTGTGGTAGCATGTAAAATTATACTGTTTTCAGTTTTTTTTTTACAAAATTAAAATATTTAGATCAAACAAACATATAAATTTAATTTTTAAAAGACATAAATCTACCTACTTATAGTAGGGCAATCTATTAAGCCTCATTAGATTAATTAATTTATTATATATATTACATACGTTCTAAGTTGACCGTAAATATCACATAAAAGTATGCAATAGCAATTGTATTAAATTGGTAACATTAGCAAGAACCAAAAGTTAGACAGTCAATTTGGCTATAAGGAATCTAAATTTAGATGTGTACAAGATGTATTAATTTGGCCAAAAATACAATGACTTTGAAATAATTATGTTACCTATTTTTGGACTTAACAAAATTCAATTTAAAAAAATGTTTGGAGATTTAATAGCGATTTGAAAAATTGTAAATTTATGGAATAAAGGAAAAAACCATTCTTATATTTTTCTTTTTAGTTATTGTCGTAAATATTGTTTATATCTAAATATTATTATATAGAAACAAAAATGAAATTTTTAAATTAAGTTAACTTTTCCAACTTATAATACATACTTATTGGTATTTCAAAGTGTAAGGCCATTCGAACTGCTTAAACGAATAATCTGCTATATCTCATTCTATTTTATACAAATTTATATAACAAACGTTCGAACACCATATGATGTTGAACTATTTTAAAACATCTTGCTGTACTCGATCACAAGTCGCAAATGCTCGAGCACAAGTCGCAAATGCTCGAGCACAAGTCGCAAATGCTCGAGCATAAGTCGCAAATGCTCGAGCATAAGTCGCAAATGCTCGAGCATAAGTCGCAAATGCTCGAGCATAAGTCGCAAATGCTCGAGCATAAGTCGCAAATGCTCGAGCACAAGTCGCAAATGCTCGAGCACAAGTCGCAAATGCTCGAGCACAAGTCGTAAATGCTCGAGCACAAGTCGCAAATGCTCGAGCACAAGTCGCAAATGCTCGAGCACAAGATACAAATGCTCGAGAACAAGTCGCAAATGCTCGAGCACAAGTCACAAATGGTCGAGTACATATGAAATGCTCGAGCGGAAGTTAAATGGAAGTATTCAATCATAAACGAACATCAAAATTCTTGAAGCTTTGAGCAGTTTAAATAATATTAATATATTAAATAATATAAGTAGAATCATATTATAACCATAAAACTATGAAAAGAGTGTAAAATTTATTTTCAACTCCATAACAAATATAGTTCGAATAGAACAGCTTTGAATTCTTTTAATTATGAAATGTTTTATAATCACTACACATCGTGGAATTATAAAAAATAGAACATTCTTATTAGAAAGTATTTAACAGAAAAAAAATTTAACGTATCACAAACAATGGTGCAAGTATACACCTAATATAAGGATAATAATTAAAATTTTCAAAAGCGAAAGGGTCTAAATTTTTCTAAAAAAGAAAGAGTCGTTGGAATTAAAAAGAAGAGAACACTTATTTTAAAAAGTGATAAGCACGGAAAAAATTATCGTTGTGTCACAACCAATGGCTAAGTATAAACGTTAATAAAACAATAACAACCGCATGTGCGTTGCTATTATATATATTTACAACAACTAGAAATTAGGGCTTCGAACCGGAATTGAACCGAAAGCCGAAAAAACACCGATATTTCTGTCGTAACGCTAAACGGAGCCGAGCTAAAAAAATATATATTAATTTGTTTCTGATTAAAATCGTACATTTCGGTACCTGTTAATCCACACACCATTCGTATTTAGTTAGTAGAACTTTTATGAATAAAACAATTTTCGTTTATAAAAAGCAATTTTTTTTTTATTATTATTAAATAAATTTGTTATCTATTTTAACAATATAGATAAATGAATAAAATGATTTGAATTATAACAAAAACAAAAAAAAAACTAGTTTTAAAAAAAATATATAAAAAATATTCACTCGAAACAAAACAGACAACCGAAAAATAAACCGTATTTTTTTTGTTGGAACTAAACCGATATATATATATAAATATATATATACATTTTTTTTTAATTGAGCCGAAACGAAAACATTTCCGATTCGAAGCCCTGCTACCAATGTAAGTTAACAACTATTTAACTACTAAGACCAGATATAATCGTATCTTATAAATGTGAAAAGGAAGCATAAAATTAATTTACAATTTGAAAAAAAAGCGTTTTCTTACATAAAATAACTTTCTCTCACATATGTCAACTGAGAGCATAATTAAGAATTTTTAAAAAAACTATCACTTCATATCCAACGCAAGATTAAGCAAGAAACTTTGACGCTGTCTCTCTCTTATTCTCTCATTCTCTTTTCCCAGTGGAGCATAGAGCCTCGACTGAAATTTTGGCTACTATATTTCATAGTCAAGGATTGTTGCTTAATCCTGCATTGAATATATTTTTGGGTTTTAAAAAAATTATATATATAAATTGCATAATTTCAAGCCTAAAAATCCGAATTAAAAATTTTGTACTGGTTTAGACATTTATATGTTAAATATGGCTGGTGATTCTATACATCTATTAGTATTAGATAATAACTCTTCATGACGTAACGATAATGTACTTAAGTGTTAATTATGTATATAAATTGGTTTATAGATATACAGTCAAACTTCCATAACTCGAATGTCTATTACTCGAATTTTCTATAACTACAACAAAGTTTAAAGCACAAATTACATAGAATTAGAAAAAAAAAATGATTTAGTTCGAAATCTTCATAAGTTGAACCTTTTGGTACTTCGAGTTATGGAAGTTTGATTGTATATATCAATTGTATAATACGAATTAGATCTTATTGTTAGAGTAGAATAAGATTAATGATTTTAGTTTTAATGATTAAGTACCTAATTATTTTAATATGTTATATTATTACTTTTAAAAAACTTATATATTCTGATCTGTTGTATTTCGAGAACATGTCAAGTGATTTAAAATGAAGTACTCAATTCGTTGTGATGTACTAATTAACCTTTTTGTTACGGTAATAAAATGTCTAAGTTAAAGCAGTAATAATGTATTTAATTTATAAAATATTTTATGTAGAATTTATGGAGATAACAAGTATCATTGTCTAAACCAATTGATATCTCTATTTTTATTCATATAGCACGTAAAACTATTAACCTAATTTTATATAATTAAAATTACGTATCAATTCCATGACTTATATATATACCATTTACTTTTATTTAGTATCGGTATATATATATATTATTAAAGTTAAAAAAACATTCTAAAAGCGTATAATACATACATTACATAATGTTTCGATGATTATTGCACATGAGTTTTTAATTCGTTAATTTAAGTATGATTTTTAATTTGTTTAATTTTTAAATACCTTTTATATGACAAAGATTATTATTAGTGATGAAATTTTAATAGTCAATTCCTTTTCTCGTTTATTTTATGTTAAAAGAGCGTAAGTACTCGTTGTGAAGTAATTTCCATTATTGTAATTAAATGCATTATTACTGTGTTTTTTTTTAATTGAATAATTCTTTATGTTAAAGGAGTTTCTTGGGAGCCTCTATTTTAATAATTGCATTCTTTATAAAATGTTATTTTTTAATTTTTAAATTAAGTACTTAATTTTCTTATGCATGTTTAATCAATTTAAAATATTCTTAAGAAATTTCGCGTGATCTATAACTATACAAAATGAATTAATCAATTCCATTATATATTGATTTTGATATTTAAATATATGTACACATATATATAATTTCTTATATGCACATTATTCATAACATTTTCCATATAAAATTAAATAACTTTTTATAATTTCATTATTAAAATTATAAATAATTATTTCAATTGTATTATCTAAATTAAAAAGTATATATGTAAAATATATTAAACTTTACATATAAAAGTATGCTAATAACACATACAATACAATAAAATTGTAAACATAACAAAAAAAAACCTAATTTTCAATACATTTAAAAATATTTGGTAAATATGGCAAGCAAATTATTGTAATATAATTAAATTAATTTTAAATTAATTCATTATAATATAAAAAGCAATTTTTCTTCTTGCTGAAGGTACAAAAGTACATTCTTAACAAATTCGTTGATAAAGCATTTTTTATGGACTTTGGAGGACTTTGATGGTGTACAAACCTGTCGTTGACTAGCATTCCTTGTTGATATACTTTTGTGTATAAGTACGTATATACATCACATTGTAAAAACGTCACTGCGGCGCACTGTTGGCAAAACCATTACTGTTGTTTAAGTTGCTCAGCAACATCTGAAATAGAGATATATACATTTAGAAAATATAAATAAAAGTACAATGTATTTGATTACTACTAAATAGAACTGTTAAATTTAACTGTGTTAAAATAAGAACCAGCATATTATCTGCTTATTATCTGTTTATTTCATTACCACGAAACAAATCCATTACTTTCATACTGATACTGTACCGAATCATATTTAAAATCTTGAGCCAACAGATATTAAGTTTTACAATCCACCTTAAACTGTACAGGTTAGCATAAAAGACTCTCTCCAATGATAAAACAATAGTATTTAAAGGCCGCAGCAGTGCAGAATTTATTTTTTTTAGTATACAAAAGTTAAAACTTCTTAACTTTTTCTATATAATTTCAGTATAAAAAATGAAGTTAACAATCTCAGGATTCCAATACAATAAAATAGTATGATTTCAATCCCTACTCCTTACAAATATAATAGTATTTTATGCTACCAAAATATCCTATTCAATTTAAACATTTGTTATTTGGTGTCCAAACCAACAGTCATCAAGCTGACTGAAGCTTTATAACCGTCATCGTTCCATAACCATTTTCAAGATAATAAACACCCATGCCCTCAGTATATTGCCAATTAACAATACTATAACATTGAAAATTTAATGCAACAAAATTTATACTTAATCCTACATATTAACTAAATGATGGCATAACCTATCCACATACAACAAAATTAATTGCGTTAATAAAACAAATTAATAAAATAATATAATAATAATAACATAATAATAATAATATGATAATAATAATAATATAATAATAATATAATAATAATAATATAATAATAATAATAATATAATCATAATAATATAATAATAATAATATAATAATAATAATATAATAATAATATAATAATAATATAATAATAATAATATAATAATAATATAATAATAATAATAATAAATAATAATAATAATTAATAATAATAATATAATAAATAATAATATATAATAATAATATAATAATAATAATAATAAATAATAATAAATAATAATAATATAATAATAATAATATAATAATAATAATATAATAATAATAATATAATAATAACAATGTAATAATAATATATATAACTTTATATATATCATTAAATAATATATAAATAATATAATAATGCTATAATATATATTAAAATATATAATAATAAAAAGTGTTGTTCATTATTTATAATAAAAGTGTTGCGTATTAATAATATAATAAAAATTATTAATTAATAAAAAAAAAAAAATTAATTAATACTATAATAAAAAATATTAATTAGTAACATAGTAAAAAGTATTAATTAATAATATAATAAAATAAAGAATATTAATTACTAAAAAATAATAAATATATAATCTTACCAATTTGCTTTACGTTCTCTTGTCGATTTATATAGACTACATAGACTATATATCATTTTTCTTTATAAATAGAAGTTGAACCATGATTTCGTTTCCATGGAATCTAAAATTTACAAGTTATAATTTAAAAAAAAAATCTATTTATTAACTTACCTTATTCACTAATTGAGTACGCTTTTCGTACACCTTTACTGTGTCGTGTTTTCCGTGATTCTTCCTGGTCGTGATCATGATCACCATCGAAATCAGCACCATGCGTAGATGATTTAATAAGTGCGCAAGTTTTAATAAAATCAATTGTAGAGTATCCGAGTGAAGATTCACTTTTGAGCTGTTGTTGTTGTGCATTGTGTTCCTCCTGTTTAGTTGACGTTTGCACGCAATTCGCTGCAACTGTTGTTGCGGTTAAAGCTGTTGTAGTTGTTACCGAATGCAGGGACTGAACGTCAGAATTACTAGCAGCAGCAATAGAGTCTCCGCCTAACGACAAACTACCGCTGCCAAAATATGTTTTTGGAGAACTTTGCGCCGGACTACGCGGTTGATCTAAATCTAAAACAATGTAGTTGACGGCACATGTTGGAGCTTGCTCCTGAGCCTTCTTGCCCCGTTGCAATGTTGATATAGCAGGTGGCGGTTGTAAAAGCAATGGTAAATCAAGCCGACTAAGATTTTCATAGCACCGTTCTGACGTATCAACCGCTTTTTCACGTTCGCGTGAACAACTTATGCCTAAGCCTTCCACATTTGCGTACATATGTAAACTGGTTGATGTGCCTGGTGTTAAGATGGGTGCACACTCTTCTGGTGGTATATCTAGCGATGAACGTTTAGCAATAGTTTTACGTGAAAGCGTACTAAACGCGCTGTTATTGCAATAGCCATTGCCTGTATTGTTGTTGTTTTCGGTATTTGCGCGTAAAGGTTGTTCCATATAAACATTTGTGTTAACATACGCTCCAGGCGTTGTTTGATGATGACTTTGAAAATGAACTACTTCATTAGTAAATGAAAAACTTGGAACTGAATCTGGTGAATCAAGTTCTAAACTAATTGGACTGCTACTAAACGATTCATGCATATTAGTGCGTACAGAATAGGCCACAGCGACTGGCTCTAAATAATTATTAACATTTGCAGAGTTATTTTCTGGACGACCGAGTGCATGCGAAGGATGCTCCCTATCACGATCATTTAATGCGGTAGCTTCATCAGCGATAAGTGTAACAGAAGCATTCACATACCGTTCAAACATTCCATAAAGCAGTTCTGCATTTTGACAACGAAAAGTATACACACCAGGGCCAGTCATACACCGGCGTCCTGCCTCAAAGCTGAAAATATCTCCGTTCAAGCCATAACGACGCAAATGTTGTAATGCCCAAACAATAGGTTCCCGCCCCTGCATGACATATATAAGTTCTCGCGGCGTCAACTCTAAAAAACCCGCACGTATGCTAGGCGATTCGGGATGCAATCTTACGACGCGCACTCGAAACACATTTTCATTCTTAGTTTCCGTTAACTTCTTTGTGCTATTGATGCATCCCATTTTATAAAAATTTAAAATGTCGGCCTTTTCGACATTCCCACGATTTTGGAAAAGTCCCGTTTTTTTTGACGTACATCTATCCACCAACAACAACGCTTATAACATACAAACAACGCTAAAGAAATATCAATTTCTTATACACATATTGGCATCGCTAAGTTCCGTTTTATTTCTTACTCACATGTATTAAATAAATTAAAACATTTTGCACACTTTTATCAAATTCGCAATTCCAACGACGCTTGCCAAAAAACAAAACCAACTCCATAAAAGTTCGCAGCACCAATGGTACATGACAACCGCTCAAAAAAAAATATCGATAACATATTGTAAAACGAACTATACACTTTTAATAGGCGCTGGTTCCCAGCGTGTTTGATGTTTGACGATATGTCACAATTAATAGTATGATATTATATTATTTTTAACATGTGTATTATTATATATATGTGCCCAGAAAAATATGAGTATTAAAATCCGAAATCATGCGTTGCTTAAACAGGCTATAAGTACAATTGTTACTATATCGAAATTAAATGATTTAGTAAATTTTTTTGTATAAAACTAATAGTTATTGAAACTCATTAGTATATTTTAAACTACATTCTGTTTGGATTTTTTTAAAAAAAAGGTAATTATTTCATTTTTGAGTTTATTGCGATTATGTAAAAGTTCTGCAAATAATATGTTAAAAAACTAATTCTAATTTAGGCCTTTTCTTTTGTAGGCATGTCGCAAAAAAACTGATAAAATAAACATTATATTCGATTGCAACTGTGAACACAATAGAGATTTTATTAGGTTTCTGTATGCAAAAGACGTAATAAAATTTAAAGTTAACATTTTTAAAATGCATATTAATTATTTGTAATTATTGATAAGAACATATTTTTTTACATAATTCTGAATAAATTTTCATGCATTTTAACAGTAAAATAATTAATAGAAAAAGTAAAATATTTGATACGAACAATGACGACACGAAATACAAATAATTAACGAAAGCGTTCGTTGACAGATAACTGGAAATTTCGTATGTACTTTCAAGAATTATTCACAATTGACGAATTTTTAGTGATGGCAACCATGTAATTTGAGCTGCTTATTAGTTAAGCAATTTTAAAAAGGTTGGACTAAATAAGCCAACAGTATTGTTGTTTCATATGTTATTTTTAAAATAAGCAGTTGTTCTCTTGTGATATGCTTACAAAAGAAAAGGTCTTTTATTATTTTTACAAATTTTAATCATATGTAATATTATAAAAACTCTTGCTTGTTTGAATATCAAACGTACATATTTGCATATTTGCGTATATTAAAATCATTGCGTACATTTCTTGTCTAGCCTGCTTCATCAGACGCTCGCCATTAAATATCTAATTATTAATTATTAAAATTATTAATAATAATAAAAATATATTATAAATTTACTAATAAAACTTTTATAATATGAAAATTAATAGCGCTATAATTTTTTTTATATTTATTTGTCTATATAAGAAAAATTAAGCGTTGTCGGTGGCTCGCAAGTGTGGTGAAATACGCATGCTGACTTATATTCGGTAAGCGACCATTGGCATCACTGTTGCAATCTGTCAAATATTATGGTTTGGCAAATAGGAAATCTTAAATATGTGCATACAATGCAAGCACATACATTTTTATAAAAATAATTAATTAATATAAAATTGAAAATTAAAATGAATAATGAATTAGAAGCAATGTGAAGGAAGCAGGAAATTCTAGAATTTTCCTTTACAACAAAATTAGTAATAGTTTACAATATTTATGCAACTTATGAGTTAAAAAACTTCAAGCGCTTTTTAAGTTTACTTTCTTCGTGTACTCAAATAAATTTTTGTGTATATTTACATACCTATTGGTCGGCAAAAATCCGTAGGTGACAACCGGGTAATGGACATCATCCGTTATGTGACAAGTCGATTCATGAGGATCTTGGATGTAATAAATGAGGAACATGACTCGGCATGTCAAGAACTGTGGTATGCCTAGCTAAGACGAAGAAAGAGTCTCAATGTAATGGTCGTGTTTTTATTTATGTGCATATATGTGTATACAGTATATATATATGTACTATATTTATTTGCACGGTCAGTACATATGAGTCCCTTTGTCATAACTTTGAGGTGTCTGGAAGTAGACATAAAATGCAAATAATAAATTTTACCACAAAAAACCAAGGCTGGAGTCGAATAATGATGAAGGTCGGGTTGGATATCAGCTCAAACGTCGGTGGGAGGCGCAGTTGCTACCATCTGCAAGTGCGGTGATCTTATAAGACGTGTCGCCAGTGACTACACCTCTGCTGGGACGGAGCAGGTTCCAACAGTTGTACTACTACCGTCAAACAACAGCGTAGTGATGCCAAAGTCCCTTTAGACTTGGGTCATAAAGGCGCTATCTCGAAAAACACGTATGTAATGCAACGCTGTGATGCCGTTGGTCCCGTAGACTCGGATCACAAGAGCATTGCTAGCGTTAACACGGTTCAGAAGACAGCTCTTCTTCGCTCTCTGGGTGTAGCTGCTAAGACCGTTCGTAGGCCAAGAGCTAAACCCAAAAAAGAGAGGTTAAGTCCCAAATCCAGATATAGAGTGCGATAAAGCTCTGCGCTAGCCTCGAAGATCGGACTGATCTGTCGAAGGAAGAGAAGGACAGGCTAGTCTAGGCAAAATGGGAGGTAGAGAAAGGTCGAGCCTTCTATGTGTGAACCCTCGAATTTGAAATTTACAAATCTGATTGAGAAGGATATGGCATGCAACGGAAAGCGAAGGTCCGAAAAAAGGCAAAAGCAAAAAGATGAGGCTGCATACCAACAAAAAACTGCTACAAAGACGACTAAAGCCAACATAATCAAAAAGCGGGAAGCGTCCATATCTATGGCAACAACCAAAGAACGAAAACCGATGAGCCCAAAGAACCAGAAGTGTCCACATCCAATGGTGGAGATAGTGACTAGACGACGCTTGATCATAGCACTTATCAATCGCGGCGAACCACAGGAACAGCTGGCAGAAAATAAATAAAAAATTTAAATAAAGCTACTAGATGCTATGTTTGCCAAAATGAGTGCAGAACCGGGGATTGGTGCCATCATTTGATGACGCCGGCTAGTTCAACGGAATAAGCCTATTGGAATACAAAGATAACCCGACCTTGAAATAGTTAAGGAAGGCAGTTAAAACGCTTCAAGGTCTATCGGTAGTTGCATATCTGAAAATAGTGGACCGGAAAACATTCCGTTTTCGCCTAAAGCCAAAATAGTTATACCTCGAGTGGTGAAACCAGAGAATGCTCTCCGTTTGCTTCAACGACAGAACTCTGATGTGTCAACCAGTCATTGGAAGGTGTTAAAGGTCCTCAAGCTAGCCAAAGAAGGCCAGAGACAAAATTACATCCTATTAATCAAGAAAGTGGCCGAGGACATTTTGTATCCACGATACGGAAAGATGTCGTGATGTGTAAGGAACGTTGTACCTTCGTTCCAAAAAGCGACATCCGACCGATAAGAACTCGAACACGCTCGCTACAGAGGAAATCGAAAAGAATCTCGGTCTCGAAGAGATCCTGAGTCTCGTGCAACGTAGTTTTTGGGTGGAATTCGCAAAACTACAATAATAAAGGTGAATAAAGGTATTAATTATTATATTAAAATCTCTCTCTCTATAGATGATCTAACGGTGACTGCGACAGAAACTTACTCTTTATGTCTTGTTACATGCCACACCAGGAAGAAACGCCATCTAAAGAGCTCCAAAGGCTGGTATATTTACCTGACGAAGGAGAACAATGTCTGATTATCGGTACTGACGCCAACGCACATCATTCGCTTTGGGGAAGTACCGACATTTATGACAAAGGTAAGTTTCTTTATAATTATATAACACGGAGTAGGCTTAGTCTTAAAGGCAGAGGTGAGTCTCTTTTTAATTACATAATACGGAGTAGGCTTAGTCTTGCAAATAGAAGGGAGGAACCAACCTACTTTGAACCGAACTCCAAGACGTTTTAGATATAACATTCTTTACGGAAGACACTGACAGAATTGAAGGTTCTTGAAGAACCATCATTTTCGAATCATAAATACATTAGCTTTCAAACAGGTTTCCAAAAATTCGCAAGAACACACTCTCACGTGAATGTAAAAGTTAGGTTTAATCAACTTACCAGGCGCTAACTGAAGCTTGCCACATCTCGTGCCGATCAATGCGTGCCTTGGTGGAATAAGGTTATCTGAGCTCACTTTCCTGGTTATACAATTGTGAGCAATACCGAACTAGTCAGAAATACAGTAGGCTTTACAGGAAGAAATATTGTCACATATGCGAGATTGGAATAGACAATCAACTCATTCGCTTCATAAAAATCTCCTGGGCTCGATGGTATTTATCCAGCTATGATACAAAAGGCCATGGACCTGATAAAACCATGGCTGAAAATATCTATAGGGGATGTTTGAGGTTTAATTACGTGCCTGTGAACTGGAAAGTGGCGAGGGTCGTGTTTATTTCGAAAGCAAGAAAAAGCCGCCACCTTTACTTTAAAGATTACAAGCCAATTAATTTTACTGCTTTCATCCTTAAAATATTCGAAAAAATACTAGCAACACATTTAGGGAATCAATTAAGTTCCCAAGTCTTGTAAAAGGCACAACACGCTTACACAAAGGCAGATCCACAGAGGCTGCTCTCTATACACTTGTCTTTGATATAGAAAAATAGAATACAAAGAATACGCTCTAGGAATTTTTTTTGACATTGCGAGTGCTTTGAATAATGCATCAACGCAATCTATTTTAAATAGCCTAAATAATATTGGAATAGACTCTGTCATATATCAATGGATTGTAAGCCTTTTAAGCTGCAGACAGATAAAGGCAGAATGGAATGACACAATTACATTAAGACTGAAAAGTTTTCGGAAATTCTCATTTAAAATTCGCGCGCTGTATATTTTTCGATATTTTAAGTTTATGTAGTTTGGCAGCACTGTCCTTAATTACTATGCCAAAAATGAGCTCGATCTGTCAGACAGTTCGTTTACGGCAGCTGTTGAAACCAGTTCACCTCAGTAGTGCGTTGCGAAATGTCTTCGACGGTCGTACGACCGTCCTGGAAGGCTTTGTACCACTCATAAACTTGAGTTTTCGATAAAACTGATTCCCCATAAGCCTTTTGTAGCATTCGCAACGATTCTGCACACGAAATTTCGTTCGAAACACAAAATTTGATGCAAACTCTTTGTTCAATATTTTTTTCCATTGTTTTTTTCGCAACGC